AGGCCTGGGTGTTGCAGTGAGGAGGCAACCTGAAATGGGGTTGCAGCGCACTTCGCTGCGGCTGGTAATACAAGCCAGCCTCACGCATGGACACCAGGAAAATGCAGCAAAGGAGGCTTCAACGAAGCTTCCTTGGCCACATGCCTTACCTCTGGACACCTTATATAACATTTGCTTTTGCTTACGCGACATCTACCAAGGCCAAATGAAGGCTCCTGTACTAACTGTAGGCAGGCAATGCTACGTAGTAGGTAGCTAACGGTTAGCATAATCATCCTAGAAGCGAGGGTCAAATAATCCTTTCGTACGGGTGTAGTAGGATGAGAAGCACCTATCCTAGTGAAGTAACGAGACCCCGAAAGGGTGCAGGCCTGGCCGGCAAGCGATGCGAGCAGCCCCACAGTGCTGGAGTGACGAGCTCAGGAGGCAACCGTAAGAGAAACCCCAAGGCGGTCGGGGAGATCTACCCTCCCGCTGAATTACCGGCATAACCTTAACCAAAAACCAACATGGCTTTTTCCCATTTAAGGTTACGGGTCTTTATCGTTGTGACCCCTTCGTATTCCACTGGACTTGTCTGTCTAGTGCTCTTCTGTAGGCTAGAATGCGCCGCCGGCGCATATCGATTCCATTTGCCTTGATTCTATAGCGGTACCTGCTCCTACCGTTATCAAGGAGCTAAATTATTATTGTTGTGTCTTAAATATAAGGTGCATCGTCGGCCCCGGGAGGTTTCACTGTTCCTGAGCCTGTCCTGCTGAACCACAAAAAACAAGGCTAGTCACCGCTGTCCTGCATAAGTTTCGTCTAAACAGTAACTTTTCCTAAAATAACATATGAAAGGCAAAAATATAATAGTTGAGAAGGTATGGGTTCTAGAATGTAGCGGAAGTTAANAAAATAACATATGAAAGGCAAAAATATAATAGTTGAGAAGGTATGGGTTCTAGAATGTAGCGGAAGTTAACTGCTGGTTATTACGCTTTTTCCTGCTACACGCAGTTTCTTCCAGCCCCGGCTACCGTGTGCCTTCTTGACGCTACACTCGGCTCACCTGCCACATTTAGTGCACTTTGTCTGCAAATCATTCATAGCTTTGCTTCTAATTTTGATTTCTGGCATTTTGAATAAGGTGCTTAGCTCGCTCTAGTGGCGGGCATACCGCTAGGGCGGCAACAGATAGCTTTCGCCTGGGTCGAAGGAACAGCGGTTTTCCCATCTGCTTCGCTCATATACACAGCACCAGCTTCGAATCACGGAGAATATAGCCCGTGCATGAGTGTCTGTGTGGTTATGCCATACAGACGAGCCAGCAGAGCGCACCTTAATGCCGTCCCAACTGGGGACCGCCGCCCAGGCCTTAGCGCCTTGGCCAACGGTTTATGAAGAAGGCCGCAGGGTACTCGGCGGTTTGTAAATCCGCGTAGAGCAATCAGCAGTTGTCGGATGAGACGAAGTCGCTGCGTTAAATCGCTCCCAACTTATTTGAATGCTGAGAGCCCTTCCCCAGCAGCGAGTTCGAGAAGTACTCGTTCACAGCCCAATATGAAAGAATTGCACTGGCACCGATAATGCGCCGCCCATCCCCCCGCATGGAAGGAGTTGACTTCCGAGTGGCTTCAAAGCGCCGGCTACCAGATGGCAGCGCTTGGCTGAATCAGTATCGCGTCTGCGAGAAGTTAGCGAACAGTAGGGAGAAACGCCCACACTGTCTTGTTACNGGCTGAATCAGTATCGCGTCTGCGAGAAGTTAGCGAACAGTAGGGAGAAACGCCCACACTGTCTTGTTACCTTCAAGCTAACGAGCATTGGGGAAGCACACATCCTGTGGCTTATGCAAACAGTTGCAGCGGTTGTATCCTCGCCGTCCGTAACAAGCTGTTCGGCAGTTGGTGTAGCAGACCGTTCAGCAGTTGCCTCCCAAGCACACTCACGCATTAAATAGCCAGGAAACAGTCTCTTGTCTCTTTAGTGATTCACGCATGCATTGTACCTGCTCCGTGGACGACACATGTTTTCTTCTGAATGGACTTGAAGCTTTAATGTCTTCAGGTATCAAGAAGCACGCCAGTTGTTCACTTCTTTGCGGTGTCGGGTTGGACTTGATTCATTCTGAGAAGTGTGGAGTGTTTGCGTTTTAATCTCAGCTGAACTTTCCAGTGTATTTCGAGTAGAGGAGACGAACGATTCCAATGGAGTCGTCACGAGCTTTTGCTGCAAACGATACCGAAAGATTTTACTCCTGAGGCGAAGGGAATTTCGCCCGGGCCCGACTGGGATGGGCTTTATGACCAAACTGGAGGACGTGAAGGAAGAGGCCCGCATATTGGCGCTCTTAGATCATCCGCGTTGTCTTAAACTGAAAGAAATCCTTGATTCAAACCCGGATTCAGCAGATGGAAAAGTCTATTTCAGTCAGTACCCATTTCGTAATTTTCCTCATAACGAGCCCTCAACACCGATAACTGATCAATCAACTCTGTTCCTCGCTGTGACAACTAAGCTAAGGAGGCAAAAACGGTTTCCCCTTGTTTTTCCTAACTCGGGGGTTTCGAGTCCGTTGTGGTTCCTGCTGTGCTTGCTGCTCAGTTACAAGTTTTATGGCCGGGGGAGCACTGATGATTCTTAAAAACGTCCGAGATGATGAGTCAGAGCGAAGCTGCTTGCTAGGATCCGACGCATCAGCAGAGGCCACCCAAGATACACTCCGAGAGAAATTCGTCCCACAGCTAAAGACAATGAGGACTTTTACGGAAGCTCAAGCTAAATGCTTTATTCGGGATGCTGCTGAAGGCCTAGCGTACCGTGAGAAGCCCGCCAAGTCATCGCCAGCCCCGTTGAACTGTTGAACGTAGACCCCAACATCCCTCAGAAGCCGAAATTTTGATCGTAATCAGCACAGCATATAGCTATTCGAGAGTGCCAAAAAGTCGAGTGCTGAGAGTGCTTGCAAGAGTGCTGCTTGCATGTGGTCTTGTGGCGCGGTACAGTGCACGAGGAGCTGGGAGTTTGTCACAGAGACCTGAAAGTAGACAACCTTCTTCTGGGCGCTGACGGCCGAGTCTGCGTAGGAGATTTTGGAAGCGCTGAGAAAATGACCGCGAATGGCAAAGTCAGATACACAAAGGTGGGCCTTACTACGCATTTCAAGGCACTTGGCCTTGCAATAAGAATATTAAACCATTTTTGGCTTCTCGAAATTCTTGCGTTGCGTTTCGTGGCCGGTGAAGTTTCCCTCCCCGTCCCACCACCGTATGGTTCGCCCAGAGCCTTAGCGCTCCATGCATTTCTTTGATTTCCTCTGGGCACTAAGGTTCTTTTCCCACACGTCTGGGATCGATGTTGATCTCAATCCAGCAGTTGTCTTTGTCATTCAGTGAACAGCCACAATCTGCCTGTTGAATGACTTCCAGGTGCAGGAATTCCCCACTGTGTCTTATGGTTCCAATGCAGGGTACGTACATGTTCATGGCTCCTGAATGCCTCCGCCCGATAGAAGAATCCAAGCCGTACGAGGGTCACGATGGTCGCGCTGCCGATATATGGGCATTGGGAGTCTGCACTTATGTACGCACCGCCACTGATAATCAGTCAGCGTATATATAGAACCCCAAAGGACCAAGCTAGCTCCTTAATATTCTGAATGAAGAAAGCTGGAGGGTTCACAGTGACGAAGCTGCCACTGCGTCCGCTTATCATGTTTCAACACCACTGTGTTCGCACCCTTAGGTCGGCACGTTTTTTGGTAACGGAAATGCAGTAGTGCCAGCAGGAGATTGATTTCGCTGAATCTTATTTGATTTCTTGGAGTGCGATGTAGGTGATGGTATTCGGGACTGTCCCATTCGTTGCGAACTCAATAGAAAGCCTATTCGAGGCTATCGGGGAGGGAGTAGTAAAGATTCCTGATAACCCACCCATATCCGCAGAGTTGCGGGATTTCTTTCGGCAGGTGCTTCATCCAGAGTGGCAAGACCGTATATCTGTACGGAAAATCCTGGTGAGGCATTGAAAAGCCGTGTACTTGTTTCATCTATTGGGGAGTTACCTCACATGGGCAATACGGAAGGCAGTTGACNTTGAAAAGCCGTGTACTTGTTTCATCTATTGGGGAGTTACCTCACATGGGCAATACGGAAGGCAGTTGACTGTGGAACGTTGCTTAAACTGCACAGGAACACCCTTGGATAACGTCTGCAAATGCCGAAGATGCTGCAGCATACGCCCAAAAGCTTCTTGAGCAAAAGACAGTCGTCAGGAGCTAGCAGAACACTAAGAGCTTCCTACAGCAGCAGCGACGGGTGGAGCTTGTCGGACGACGCATCTTTTTTCACAGGACGAGTGCGACGTTCTTTGACTTCTTTCGAGGGCGGTCGAGCAGCCACAGCTCAAACCCTTCGAAAGACATTGCTTAAAGCTCGGTTTCCTCGTGTGCTGCGTTTACTAAATCCAACTGCCACGGGCAACACAGGGTACCCTACGTCACCAGTTAGCTGCTCCGAGTCGCTAGAGATACCCGTTGTGTAATCTTTAGTAGCTGGAGAGTCCCTGCAAAACAGCGTGTTTACCTTGTTAGTGACAGTGCGTCTGTTAGGTAAAACACCCTTGTTATCTAAAGCGGCGCTTGTGTCTCGGCTATGNCCGCCCCGACTACTTGCCAACTGGAAGCTAACTGGGATTGTTTCCAAGATTAGCAACGAAAGAGTTTTCTGCAGTGGAGTGCCCCCCGTTGATCCATTCAAATCAACCGCTTAGAACTACACGTTCCGTTGGGCTGGAATCCCATCCTTCCGGCTTCAATAATTAGTCGACCCCGCCTGGAAACGAAGCTGCCTATGGAGGGGAGAAGCACTTAGCTTTCACGGCAGCTGGACCTTCCATACCCCTCTTCTCAATATCCCCATTCCCGTTGGGACCAAACCGAAACACAGATACGCTGGTGGCATTAACCGGCATTTCCCTGTGTGCGTGAATGTTTCCATTCACGCTAATTTTGCTCGAAACTCTTCATGATCTTTGCCATTTGAATACATCAATATTCGTGGGAAGTGCAGTGAAATCACCTCGTTAACGCCACTTCTTGGAGCTGGAGCTGCAGGGAAGTACGCCGCGCGCAACATGTGCTGTACCGGGAGCAAAATGTCCTTGTTGTTCGCCACCCTTGGGTTGCATCCATGCTCGAGTTTTCNATGTGCTGTACCGGGAGCAAAATGTCCTTGTTGTTCGCCACCCTTGGGTTGCATCCATGCTCGAGTTTTCCATTAATGACCCAACCAACCCTTTCTATGGCGTGTAGACGGATAATCGACTGTAAGTGCTTACATCGACAGCCGGATACGCATGAGAACGGCTTCGTTGTACAGAGATAAGCGATGCACTGCAAAAACGGCTCCCTCTTAGATGTGTTAGTTGCAGCCATAATGCCAGAAAGCACATTCTTTCTTCAAGAATATGCTAGCGAAATGGGTTCGAAGCACAGGCAGGTGTTGGGGAGAAACTAGCAAGCATGAGAAGGCACCAGAAGTTAGCGCTTTCGTGGAAGTGCTATTCAAGTAGAGGTGAAACAAGTAATCGTTGTATAAGCCCCGAAAGAAGGCATTCTTCGGATATGTGCATTCCGATTTTTTTCCCTCTGTTGGAACTTGTGACTGTAGGGCAAGTACTAGTGTCCATCTAGTAAGAGAAACACTTCAAGCTGAATTCCTTTCATTGCTGTTAGTGGGGATAGGCATGTCACTGATTCCGAAGCCTCTCTAGCGCACAAGAGTCTGGTTCGCAGGACTACAGACAACAGGGTCCGCAGCTAGCAGCAACAAGCACTTGGAAGGACTGCTTGGTATTTTTGAAAGCTGGAATTACGGGAAATGCTGCTCACAGCAGGCGCCCCATTGTAATTGTTCTATCGGCGCACTGAGACAAAACAAAGTATTGACCCTCCCTGCGGGGCCCCGATGTGTCAGCAGGTAGGCGTGCTCCCCTACAGCAGCACTCCACTTCCGGCTTGTGCAAAATACTGGGCACAGCCACTGCAAAGCCGTCAGAGGCTTCAAAAGAGCATCCGTAGACCATAAAAGGCAGGTGCCACAGTGCAAAATCGCAATTCCCACCTGATCGCTAGGAGAAAACGCGACATGCCATTGGCATTCTGTTGAAAACACTATCACTGCTACTAACTGTCGCATAACTCTACGAAGAAGCAGGATTAGCCCTTGATACTCTCACAGCGGTCCCATATGCAGTGTACTCGACATGCATGCTTTGGAGACCAGAGGTTACCAGTCGCACACTCACGACTGCGTTCGCGCCAACAGCAGCTGCTGCCTCTGCAAGGCGTTGCAATGCAGAAGCGCGTGTTTCTTTCAACAAGTCGTGCAGCAGCTGCTGCTCGCCACCGAGCTGCTGCTGCAGCTGCTGCTTCCAAATTTCCAATACGCTCCGTCCACGCACAGCTGACCCTTCAACGAAGCCTGCATGTCAAAGTGCACGCATTTTATGGTGAAATTTACCCGCGTAAGCCGGGCTTGAGAAGCGGCGATGCTCCGGCCTCACCAGATTTGTCTTCTAACTGCATTGCACTA